AGTTCCAGCAAGTTGGTCATTCAGATTGCAATGAATCACACACCTGGAATTATTAATAGGAGTCTCCACTCTCTCATGCTGCTTAGGCACTCCAGCCAATCTAACAACAGGTGCTAAAATTTGTCACCCACTAACCCGTCATCTAAAAATTACATTTTGCAATTCAGTTGCAAAAATTATAAACAAAACCTCCAAATCATAAACAGCAATTTTCTCATAAGAGCAGACTTACCAAAGGAGGGGAAAAAACCTCCAAATCAGCAGTTCCAACCACATATTGTTTTTTTCAGAGATTTCCCATACATGTTTCACTTGCTGGCACTACAGCCCCTACCCTGCATTTCCACTCCTTCCGCACAACTGCAGTAGAAAGCGGTGATGAACACTGGCCAACACCACCACAACTGTTCTTCTTAGTCTTCTGCTTTATTTCAAGTGCAAGGGTAGGTTTTTGTAAGTCATCCTCTGTACCATGTAAATTCAGGTCTCCCTTCTCCAGCAATTTCTAATTCTTAGCTCCACAACTTGCAGGCTTTGACTGCAATAAAGCTTTCAGTTTTAGAAAATAAGAAGTATGTTCCCATCACACATCACAAAGACCTGCACAGATAGAATGCTTTAACCGCTGTGTAAATCTTATCGTTGGACCTTTATTATCAACTGAATTGACAGTCACTCGAGGGGAAAGTACAAAATGTACACAGCATATTTCAATTTATATCTTATTTTTGGGTACTATCAGCAAGGAATTTCAAATTAGGGATTTAGTAATACTTTAAAAATTACATTATAAACGTTAAAGCAGAGAAACATTTAATGGATATTGTACATGCTACCGTGTTTCATGAGTTTAGCCAATGTAGCAGCTACCAAAAACATCTCACATCTTCAGTTTTGCTAAATTTGAATCTTTATTCAAACTCAGCACTCACAGTGAATGTTTACCAGCTGCCCATCTAGGAAGCCATTTTTTAGAATTACATTGCTCTTCACCTAAAATCTGTTAAACTTTCTAACAAAATTACTGGGGGGGAAGAAAGAAAGGTTCCAGAGAGTTCTTAAAGTTTAAATGGTATAATGAAAAAGGTATATTTTATACAATATTATAATGAAAATGTTGAAACAGAGAGGTGTTCTGTTTCACCATGGAATATTCTCATCTACATGATTCTGAATTAGCATTCTGCAGCTGCACACTTGTTTACTGCAGCTTGCAAAGCAAAAGGATAGCAATTGTTATTAAAAAAAAAGTCAAGAAAATCAAAATGCTCAGGAAGTGAAGTCAATGTTTTCTTTCCTAGTAATGAAACCATGACTTCATTTTGTAGAAGAATCACTGCTTTCCTTATCATCCTATTTTACCAGTCGTAATACCTGTTCTGGCATATTAGAAATTAATTCAGAAGAGAATTTCGGACATTCCCCAACACATCTCTTCCTAAAAATCACTGATATCCAATTCAGATTATGAAGTACCAAGTTCTTATCAGCAAAACAAAACACAAATTGCCTGCATTTCCAAGTCAATGCATTTACTAATTATCAGGTAAGCATGGAGACTCACACCAAATTACAACCACACGGTTACAAAACCATACGATCGAGTTGCAGGACCTTAGATGGAGATGTTCAATGTTTGCCATCCGGCGTCACATTACCATGACAAAGAACGGTCAGAACATGGCACCTCTCTCAAATCTTTCCATTAAAGATAGGCTCAAAAGGAAACCATTTCAAGTTTTCCTACCTATAATTTGCTAGGAAGCGTGACCAGCAAAAACGTGATGCCCTCGTACATAACACGCGCCACACCAGAAATACGATCGTGAAGCGCTCTCCACAGCTCTACCTATCTGACTCGCAATACACATCCACATAAAGTCTTGAGAAACATGAAAAAATAAAGGCTGTCTTTAGAGACTGTAGTTTAAAATTTAAGACTGATTTTGAGTAAGTGTAAATTACCTTGCACAATAGTTGCACAATAATTCATATGTGCCACCAAAGCTACCCAGCGGACTTAGGAAGAGACCATTAGTGTTTCAGTTTCAGTACAAACCCCCAAGTCTGTACTTCCAATTAGAAATAAAAATGTAGGTAATTAGAACCTTGAATGTTTTCACGATTAAGTTACAAACCAAGATTTAAAAGCAAACAGACTAAAAGAAAACCAAGCATCAGATTTATGGGCCTCACTCTGCAGCAACTCTAAAAGCCCAGTTACACACATATTTATAAAAGTTGATGTGATTCTCAGCTTAAAAAATCGTTCACGACTTCAAGTTTGCCGTAATGCAAAAGCATACACGCACGTATGTATTTCTACGCAGGTACGTATGTATTTCACAAATGTAAGTGAGAGAATTGAAATAATTTGCTGTTAGTTACGTTGTTTGGTTTTGTTAACAAACTGATGACGGAGATGCCTAAGCCAGTGCCTTTCGTGAAGGGGTTTTGCAGGGAAGCAGCGCAAGCCCAGCGGCGAGGCCGCGGCAGCTCCACAGTGCTTTGTCATACTCGCGCTTTGCTTGACGGCCGGACACAGGCTCAGTCCAGTTGGTGGTCTGGGACATAATATCGAAAGCGCTTCACCACTGCGCAGCACCCAGCGTCCTGCCCGTCAACACAAGCAGCAAATCTTAAAGTAATACAAGTCAATTCTAACAACTCTTAGGCTGGGCGCTCATTAGTACATCAAGCGCTCTGTTAAAAGCCCTTACCTCTTTTAATACAGTATGACCTGGGAAAAGTCAGATACCGTGCACGCAACCACCTTGAATCAGTACAGATCAACTTAGGCGTTACTCATGCTTCACGTACTAACTACAGAGCATTCGGCTTGTCTTCAAGCTTCTCGTTTAGCCAGAAAAGTATCGCTGGCACCACTGCATCTGTGTACGAGAAGTGCTTTTCCCCCTCTTTCTGGATGGAAAACGAAACAGCAAAATGCCACTCGCATCGTTGTACTCGTTAATAAGCCCTTCACGCACACACAGGTTACTTTTCCCGTGACAGTTTTGCAGGGATGCGATCGCTCCTGGCACAGCACGAGCCCCTCTCGCCCCAGGCCTGCCGGGAGGACCCGCAGCAGCAGAGCGGGGCCGGGCCGTGCGGGCCGGCGGCTCACACCGCCCCGGGGCAGGCGGAGGAGACCTCCCCGGCCCAGCTCCCGGGCCGGGGAGAGAGACGCGGTGCCAGGGTGAACCCTCGGCAAACCGACCCGGGCGGCTTTTCGGGCAGACAACTTCTGCTGGGGAGCGGGGCCGGGGCCGGTCTTTGGGGCAGTCCGTGCCCCCATCAGAGTGGACGGCCCCGCCGCCACCCGCACGGCCAGGAGATCTCAGCCCCGCGGGCACCGCTCGGCCGGGGCCGGGGCCGATGCCGGGCCGACCCTCCGCCCCGGCTGTCAGTCTGGGCGCGGGGGAGGGAAGGGGGGCACCGCCGCCGGGGAGGGAGAGCGACCCGCGCCTGCCCGCCCGCCCTCCCGGCGCGACGGAACGCGGGGCGGCTCTTACTTGTGCAGGAGCTGGGGCAGGCTGGGCGGCGGCGGCGGCATCCCTCGGCCGGGGGCCCCGCTGCGGGCATCGCTCTCCGGCGGGTCAGCGCCGCGGGGAGCCGGGGCCTGGCTCATGGCAGCGGCCAGGACCATGCGGGGCGGCCCCGGAGGCGCGGGTGGCCGCGCAGCCCTCGGCGGCCGCGGCGGCAGCAGGGAGGGAGGGGAGGGAGGGAGCGAGAAGGGAGGGAGGGGGCAGAAGACCGGCCCTGGAGACAACCGCGCTCCCCCTGCCGCCCCCCCCGCCGGGCTGGCGGCGGCGGGACAGGCAGCCCCCTGCAGCTGAGCCCGCCCTGGGGAGGGCTGCGGCCACCGCCCGGGGTGGCCGGCGCTGCGCGGAGCCCCGGCGGGGCCGGAGGGAGGGGCGGGCGGTGCCCCCCGCCCGGCCCGGCCCCACCTGGGCGCAGGGCCCGTGCCCTCCCTCCTGCACAGCACCTGCCTGGAGGGAGGGACCCGCGCCCGAGGCAGCCCAAAGGTTCTGCCCCTGGCCCCGCCGGGGCGGGGTGGCCGGGGAGCACCTGTCCGGGGCACCTGGCCCTGCCCGGGGGCGAGAACGCGCGTAGCAAAGAACGGACTGTACAGCGAAGAGCGAGCGGCACCGGCCCCTGCGCGCTCCGGCAGCGGCAGCGGTTTACAAACATCAAATCTCTCCCTTTCCCAAGGGCAGGGGGAGAAGCACGCATATGGTTCTAATCCCTCGCCGGTAGCACCTCTGCAGAAATGTTATTAGTCATTTATCAGACATAGGCTCTGTCAGCTGATACAAAACGGGAGAGGAGAGTGTCCCCTAGCCAACAATATAAACCTTCTCCAGTAACAAGTCATCTCTGTAGCAAACCCCAAGTCTGGGCCCAACTAATATGGGCTTTTAATAAAGGATGTCGATCCTGGGCTACCCCCTTCCAAACACATACATGAGCAGGGTCAAGACCTATCCGGGAAGGCTTTACCCACTGCTGTAATAACACAGGATTAAGGAGTGGAATTGCTGCATGATGACACAGTGGGACGAAAAGTTTTGCCTGCCCATGTTTTGTGAGGAAATTTCAGGTGCCCAGTGAAGCAGAAATTGTACACTTGTACCAAATAAGTAACACGGAAAATGTTCCTTCCAGGTCTTCCCGCTTCCTTTGTAACGTGCTCTATTAGAGAGGGCTGAATCAAGGACCATTTCAATTCTTGCTCCTGCTCTGCCTCTCCTTGCCTCGCACCCTCCCCTGGCAAACAGACTCACACATGCACCAAGGAAAGCAGAAACATCCTGGCTTCTTTGAAAAATTAATCCTAATTCAGGGGAAAGATGAATTTTAAAGGGGGTCGCGTTTCTCCCCCCCTGCACCTGGCGTAGTCATTTACAAGTATGTAGCCTTCTAAATGGGAACAAAATGCCACCTCCGGTGACTGGAAAATTTTAAGTTAGTTGCATTAATCACGTACTTTGCACTTTGCAGATAGAGAGCACCAACCAGGTGCAGGGCAGTGGAGAATTGAGCTGGATTTCGGCTGCACAGTTACTTAATGGTAAGGTAAGACCAAATGCACCTTCTAAAAATGAATGGCAATTAGTACTTGTTTAGACATATGTACTTGCACACACTATATTCTGAGAAATACAAACAACGAGGCTTCACATTCTTTCCCCAAGGAGGGAAATTTTGCAATATTATGGGTTTTCTGGTTCAGCAAGGACCAAATGGTGGTCAGCACTGTGTAGCTACGAGAAAAGTAAGGTCTGACAGACAGGTGAGGCAATGCCTGGGAACAAAAATTTAGCATGCGGGGCCATCTCTGCACAAAGTTTAAAGCAAATCTCAGGTGCCCACTAATCATTCACAGAAAAAGCGGCTTTGTGTGAATTTCCTGAGCAGCAGAGAAAGCTCTCGAGAGACCAAGTGACAGCCCTTTCTGCTGCCTGTAATTATTTGAGGAAGTGAAAGATGGTGACTCATGGCTCAGAGGGCAGCAGGAGCACAGCTATGACACTAATGCATGGCCCTGGATTAGAAGGTGGATAGTCACAAGAACGTGTTACTTCGCACAGACATATTACATCACTTGTAAAAATGGATCAAGTGTGTTTTACTAGGCACTACTATTTCTGCACTTAATGCATACAGTGTATAACTCAGCATTCAGTCTCAGCATGGGGTCCTAAAACTCTGTGAAAGATTTTCTCCATTCATTCTAATGCCACAGACCTTATCCCCATGTCTGCTTCTTGTCAAGGTTTTTTTCTCTTTTTCTGCCATGCCTCAGTGTTTGGCTTGGCATGATCTGCTGTGGCAGATCAGGAGCACTGACCCCTCACTGCCAGCTGGTCCCTGCCTTACCTCAATGCACCAGCACAAGGCTCACTCAGAGGGTGTCCTACAGTGAAATAAATGGGAGGGTGTGAGCAAGCACAGTCTGAGTAAGGTTCATGGACCCTCTTATTCAAGAAATCAACATAAGCAGTTTTCTGTCCAAGACTTACAGTATTTCTGGAACACTGCCATAAGAACAGTGGCTGGGCCAAACAACATAGTTTTAGGGTCTGGTTTTGGCAGTAGAACTGAACAAGTGCAAACTGCTACACAAGATCCTATTCTCCTAATAGCAAATATGGTTACTTATGCACATAGAGAAATTGTATCTGTATGTTTTTTCCCTCAGCTAGAGTCATATTCTGTATTTGTGTAACTGTCAGCTAATGGGAATTTTGTCAATGATACTGGCAAAACACTGATGTTCCTGTTGCTGGCTTCCTATGTATTAAATATCTATGATTTTAGATTAAAACTGTTGATTTTTTTCAAAATATCTATGCCATGGATGAGTGCTCATGCAAAAAACCAGTCCTAGCTAATAATTTCAGCTGAGATTAATATGCTTACTGCATCTCCAAATACAACTAAATAATCCCCATGTTTTATAATGCCTTTTTGGGGTTTCCAGTTGTAGGAGTCTGCATGCTTAAACTGAAATCCTGATCTAACTGCTGTTCTAACTTGCACAAAAGGACAAATCAAAACCAGGTCTCTGGTATAAATGAACTCACATCCAGAATACTACATTTTTAGGAGGTAGATTAACAGCAGAACCCAGGAAAAAGAAAACAAGCATAAATTAGAAAAGGGATAGAAATGGGAACACACAGGATACTGTGTCCCCAAATAGTTCAGCATCAAATAACAAAACCAGCTATAATTTCATTGCTTTAAGAGCTCAACTAATCGTAGAATTACACAGCAGCAAGGAACCACATCTAAGAATAAAAGACTACAGAAAGTCAATCTGCCTATTAGTCTGAGTAACACCTATTGTTGACTCGTGCCTGAACCTGTTATTCTGTGACCTGAAATTTAATATTTTATGAATCAGTTGCCTTAAATGTAATCTTTTGAAAATTAATATATAATCATCTCTCCATTATCGGGGAAAAGACGTGGTTGAAAAAAAAAAGAAAGATGGAAAACCCAGGTAAACACAAGTACCTCTGGGCCAGTGTTGGCCTGGCCACAAGCCTTGTTCCCCAGTGTAAGTGTCCTGCTTGCTTAAGCTGCAAAGCGCAGAGCTAACCTAGGTGCCACTGCATGTGGAACATGGCTTATCCCCAAAGTGGGTGAGGCACCCAGACAAAACAGAGAATAAACTCTGTTTTTCACTGTTACTGCAGTGCACAGGTATTTTAATTCATATTTATAAAGTGTGATCTAGATAGTGTTGTGACGGTTCTGCAGAAGCAATAGTCATTAAAATACAAACATGATTTCATATAGAATGAGATGTCATCTCTTAAATAGGATTGAAGTAATATAAGTATCCAGTTGCAGGAATAAAAGACTTCATCTAGGAAGAATGGCAACATCGTACTCCTTAACACACTGGAAGGCGGCAGGAAAGCACTCTCTTACTTGACTTCCAAAACTAATGAAGGAAAATACCTACAAAGTCTGGAAAAAAAAATGAAAAAAAAAACTTCAGACCTGGTAGATTATGATTATTAACATATTAGCTTTTCTCAGGTGATGTTGAACCCTTTTGTTTCTGGACCTTGCTGTACATGTTTTCTTCTTGTTCTCTCTGTTGTTTGGATAGAGAAGCTGAAGACTGAAGCAGAAATTCACAGTGCCTGGGTATATGAAATCTGCCTTTTGGGTAAGTCTTTATTCACTTTTATTGGCTTCTCCTAAAAAATATTTCAGTCAGCACCACTTTTCACTTGTTCTTTTCAGTGATTTTCTTTTCACTGGGTGTGAATGGCAACAGGTGGCTAAAAGTGGTAAGTTCTTTTGCAGTTACTCTTGCTTTGCATTTTCCTGCACCTGCACAGGCTGCGCTGCCCATGACTGCATGTCAGTGGAATGGTGGTGCACAGAAATACTCAGGGTACATTTACAAAGGACCAGGTAAAATTCAGCTCAAGTTGCTTTATAAGAAAACAAACAAACAAACTAAATTTTCTGACACTCAAACGCAGCAGAAAGTTTTCTAATGGTTTGGAAGGAAAACACAGGGGAGGTCTAGTCCATTAGAAGTATTTGGCTATAAAACAGATGTTTTTATAGGAGAACAGTATCGCCTGAAGATTTTGACTAAGCAAAGGTTAGAAGCGAAATAATCACCCCCCGGACAATCAGAAAATGAAGCTTATGAATGATGCACTGAGACAGCCTTGTTACAGACCTGAGAAAGGTGAAAGACAAAACTCAGGGGCTGGACTGATTGCTGCAGTGTGCAGATCATGCGCCTTCAAGATTCAAGCAGATCAAGATGCAGAAGGATAAGCTTTGGAAACAAGCTATCAGACATTCAACCATGGGAGGCTGAGACTCTCAAATATGCTGGGGCAGCCAGCTAAGGAAAGACAAACACTGCAGAATTTTAGTCCTGATGCAGAACAATGTGGAATAAATTAATGTTGTCTTTTTGTGGTTACTGTGAAAAGCTGTGTATTCCCTCAGCACATCAAGGCAGTGACAGTACAATCCTCAATTCACATATTATAAATTTAGAAAACATTAGAATGCACAACTGATCATACCTAGGATGTTTATACACACTGCTTGATCCCAGAATACTGGCTTATGTCATTAAGGGCTAGTATCATGCTGCTTTCTAGCTTCAGAAATGGCAAATATTTACCATTGTAACTACTTTGGCCAACTTCTTAAAGAAAAGTAAAAAGTAATTAAGGGAAGAATAATGGACACAGTAAAAAATGAATGTTAAACAACTCTGAGGAACAGCAGGCTTTTAAAAAAATCCTTGATGTTACTTTCAACTCTTCAAATAACCAAAATATGCATGTTAATAACCCAATTTATCTTTCCATGCCCTCACTATTACATACTTCCATTCATATCATGGCATAACTGGTCTGCTTCCACTCATCCTCGCTTCTGTTTCTCATCCTTCATGACCCCAGAAACACAAGAGAATTAACAGTAATTGCTTGTTTATTTGTTTAACCCACTGCTTTCTAATACATAGGTGTGGGCTTTTTCTTCTCATCCCCAAAGCTGTAGTTAATAAATAGTACCGCTTTACTATTAATGAAAATACCTGTAATTAATATATTCCGTACAGATTTTACTTCAGTAATTTTTGATTTATAAGAGAGTAGATTAGAAATAATATCCAGTCCTTAAAAAGCTTAATTTGCAAGCCTTTAAATACCAATTCCTCTTTATGTGCATACAAGTTCTATGGATATATGCATTGCTGAAGGCAAAGTCTCAGCCTTTATGGTTTCCTTCTCCATGATAAAACACTGATTTCTGCATAACTACTGAGTATCATTTGATAGGGATAAATACTACTGATGCACAAGGACAAACTGGACACAGATTACAAAGATGTCTTTATATTTTATGTGAAGATGAGTGATTTCTAAAAGTATGCCTAAATAGAACAGTACAAAACACTGCACAATTTATGCAGCTATAACTGATGTTTGGCTGTGGTGATTTTATCAATTTGTAGAGCTGGCCCTTGTTCACCAAGACAAATTTTAATTTTGTTGTCAAAGTCCTGAATGAATTTTGCTTCAATTTTAGTATTAAAACAAAGCTCACTTCACTTAAGGATGTGCTTGATTATTGATAGTTCTTATACACTGCTACTGATGCTGGAACTGCATGGACTGAGCTGAGCATTTAAAGCATCTGTGGTTTAAAACAACAGAGTGTGTAGTTATCAATAAAAACATCTATTTTCTTAAGGAGCACTGTCCACGGGGGACTGTGCTTGTCATGCTGTCTCCAACACAGAACCAGATTTATTTTCTCATCATTATTTTTCTGAGTAAAGTTTTTTCAGAACTGCTTAGTGGAAAGATCTGGTGACTGATGGAGTTATCATACCTCAGCTCTGCTTTGATGTTCTTAGAGCCCAGCATGTGGTGGACAGTAGGAAAAGATAAATATCACTGAAAAGTAGCCGGGGATGAGACACCCTGTCAGGAAGGCTGGTCCGGACTAAAATGACTGACACAGGCTGATCCGGCCTATGGCAAACACATCTATTCCTGGGACCTCTCACTTGTGAAGGATGTTCAGCAGGACTGAGTTTTTGACAGGCCACTTGTGCAGGGCCTGTCTGCTGGTCTGCTGGCGTGAGCTGCCGAGCTGCTCTGCCTGCGGGAAGGTGCAAAGCCCGTGCGGAGCGAAGGGCAGGGCTGCAGTGCCTCCTGACGGACCGACTGACCTGACTGCAGGGCTCCTTCCCCTTGTCTGCTGACAAATTGCACAGCTGTGGTGTTACATGTCAGCACTTGCAGTGCGGATCTCCGGAGACAAACCAGGAATGTTCTGCATGCCAGACAGTGGCGCTGAGCCATTACATTGAGACAACCTTCTTGAGGGAGCCGTGGGCCCTGAGTGAACAATAAGAGTGGGGAATCCACTGATGTTCTGACATGCAGCCCTGTAAAGAAAGGCAGCCCAGTGCAGCAAGACCAGACCTACAGCTGAAAGGAAAGATGTCTTACAAAAACGTGCCAAATCCATGCAGCATTTGCTGCACAGATACTACACCGATTTCAAACTCGCACGGCATTTAGATAAGGTAGGTAAGACTATGTGTTCCTGAAGTCTGGGGTATGCTTTCATCAACATTCATGCTGAGCCTGAAGTTGTTTGATGATGTTTATCATCATCTGGAATGCTTCCAGTGGAAAACATGATCTTACTGATCTGGAATCTAGCTCAGCTCCTGCAATCTATATATTCAGAGTAAGAGTCAACAGGGAAATTCACATTGACATTTGATGCAGAGAAGCAAAGGACTCTGAAGTTACCTGAAATGATCTGCTCACCTGTTGAGGGCATCTTCTAAAATTAGCCTTTCAGCTCATAAACTACAGTTCTTGCTTGTCTCACAGAACTACCACAGCTGTTAACCTGGTCCTTCCCCTTTAGAAAAACTAGAAGAGCTTTTTAAAGTCATATTCCTATAGGGATTCTGAAGAACATCCGTAGGATTGTAGAATTAGATTTTGTAAATAATTATCATAGGGACTGAGAAATGGCAAAGCAGTCTTGATAGACAATTGTGGAGGGGAAAATTATTATCTGTGATGACAGATTAGTTTATTGAAACTTCTGCCACCTAGGATACAGAAACGATAAGAATAAAAAACATTCTGACTTGAACTCTGGAGGGCTTCTCCTTTGTTCTCCCCACTTTAATAGTAAGTTTACCTCTTTCTTTATTAGCATCTGGTGAGAAAGGGCATAGAAAACAAACAGCAAAGACAAATATTGGAATAAAAAGAAACATGAATTAAAGAGCAAAAACTCATGGTCCCAGGTAACACAGCAAAAGCTTCACCATCTCAGAAAATAATCTTAAAAGAAAAGTAGTCACACACTGTAAATGAGGCTACAAGGAGATGGATGCACAGCTTCTTGGAAACGTGCACTCACAGCTGGTATGAGTAGTTTGCTGTCAAACTAGAAAGGCGTATAATTTGGGAATCTGTAAGGGTTAAGTCCTTTTCCTATCTTGTTATTCAACAGTCTGGGTAACAGAACAGATCACACATCTGAAACATGCATGTGGGGTAAAGTGCTGTAGGCAAATTGGAGCAGAGCAAGAGTTTTCAGAATGATTTGGAGAGATCAGAGAAACTGTCTGAAAAACATGGGATTCAGCTGAACAAGGACAGGTGCTAAGTCCTGTACTTAGGAAGAGAAAATATTGTCTGGGAAAGTACAGGACTAGACAGATAACAGTTGTTCTGAATAGGACTCGGGGAGTATTACAGAGGATCAGAGCTGAACATGAGTCAACAATATCATGCAAAGAAGGGATCCATCAAGCTGAGCTGTATAAATAGAAGTTTCATCTTACTAATAATTATTCCCTTATTTTTCTTGGTGATGGTGAGGCCTCAGTAAGAACATTACATCCAGTTTGGCAGTGGTATCTAAGTAGGAGTTGGACTGAGAAATTCAGAAGAAAGGATAGAACTAACAAAAAGCCTACCAAAAAAAAAAAAAAGGATGACAGAAAGGGCATTGTTTGGTCTAGAAATGAGAAGACCGAAAGCAGAAAATAACCTTTAAAGAAGAATGGAATAAATTGGTTATGATACCCAGGGTAAAGAAGATGGAAGAAAGCAGACTTAAATCACAGCAAGAGAAGTTCAGATTAAACCTGCTAATGGTAAATGAGAGAATATGTCAAATTTTGAAACACCTGACACTATCAGTTTTAAAAATAGGTTAACCAAAATATCCATCAAGAATGAGTTAAACATGATCCACCTTTGGGGCAAGAGATATTCCTAGGTGTCCCATTTTCCAGGATTGCGAGCAGACTCTGGGATGGCAATGACATATGCAAATCCCTTGGAAAGCAAGAAGTGCAAAAGTTGATATATCTTGTGTTTATTGCAGGTCCAGCAATTCTTCACAGTCCTCCCTATTCATGAGGTTTGAAGATGGCCAACAATTTATATTAATAAATGGCATGACCATGCGTCTGGAGAGGGCCTTGAAAGTGATACAGTCAAAGCAGAGAAGAAGAAAAGGTCATTTTAGTGGAGAAAGACAAAAGGAGAGATCACACAAACATTTTGAGTGTTTGTATTTGTACTTGGTGAGAAGGGAAGTCGTAGAGTGTCTCTAAGAAATGCACCGCTCTCCCAGACA